ATTGTGTTATTGAAAATAGGAGAAAGAAAATGAAATTTAATTTAATTGGGGCCAAACGGGTTCCTGATTAAAATTTAAATCAAAATCAACAATTTATTTTAATTTTACATTTTATAGGATCCACAATTTTTCAACCACACAGTCCATCAGATTTTATCAAATCTATGAAATATTTTATTTTTATCTAAGCCCCTATTTGTCATCCTTTAAAAATTTAAATTATTTGCTACAGGATCAGTATCCACACGTATTCACAAAACAAAATATTATACACATAAACCAATAAAGTTATCTTACTTTTTAATTATACATTCTCCAAAAAATACTATTCAATAACTCATTATTCTCAAATAAATTCTATTTCTGGAATTCAGATATTTTGGTTATTAATTTGTTTCATGGAACTTAATTGTCTAATGGGACTGCCAAACGGCTAAAAATTACAGAACATAATTCCAGATTTCATTGTTGCTGGATGAGTGAACTTAGAGTTTTAGCTATACTATGCTGCATTGCCTGACTGATTATCTTGTATCTATTTGCTTCAATTTCTTGTAATTAATGAGTGGATTTTCATCATCACTTGAGTTGTTATTATGTTGTAATCTAAAATTTTTACTATTTCAATTTTTGCTAACCTAATCCTGCCTATCTTGGCACACCACTTTTAAGCCCCGTTTGGTACCCATTTTTGTAAGAATGAAAATGAAAAATATAATCGTTATGAGACCTACTCAAAAGATAGAAAATCAAATATTGTGATTTTATTTGATAAATAACGATTATATTTTTCATTTTTGTGGCCCAAGAATGGGAATCAAACGAGGGAATGTCAAATTTAATTGTAAATCTCGATAGTTGTGTATCATTCTTGTGTCAAAAATGATTTATGGATGCCATTGGTATTGTCATTAATTTTTGGCATAATCTAAGCCTTCTTGTCTTCAAACACAAATTTTCATGTGAAATGTAAATGCCAGTCTCTATAGTTGTGGATCAAACTATCAAGAATAACTGTCCTTCTTGATAGTTAATCGCTGGAATTCTCTACAGTTCGATAACCACTTTCAAAATTTTGTCATATGCGAAATCTGGTTCAGCTTATCCTGTAAGTGTGTTATGAATTTAAATGTGCGACACATCAGCTGATATATGCTATATTCTTCAAGTTAGAGTGCCAATTTGTTGTTTTGGTGCAAGATACAATCTTGTGTTTGATTAAACTTTCATGTTATGCATTTAGTACACTATTTTACTTTCTTTCTTTACTTTATACTTGGTTGAATATGATAAGCGGGTTCTATTCTTTCTGTATTCTAATGTTCCTTATTTTGAAAATAATTTGACACCACCATTCATAAGCAATGACACTATATATGCATGGGTGTTGTCACTCCTTTTGCTAGAGCATGTTCTTTATTAGTGCATTTGTTTGATCATGCATTACACTTTTCACTACTTCCAAATAATTGGAATGTTCTTTAGGTAACATGAACTATATCATATTTGCATAGAGCCATGCAGTTTCATATCGTCGGGGATTCTCCGAAGGTCACAAGTGAGCCTTCGGCCACAAGAAGGGCCGACATGGATGTTCCATTAGTGGTTTTAGTACCATGTGTTGATGATCAACAAAGATGTGGCGCTCGACATGCATTCCAGTGCCTGCAATAGGGATGAGGAAACCGTTCGCTAAGAGTGGGAAGAGAATCAAGAAACAATGCATTCTTTTGGGAGATAAAATCTTGTTTTCACACTCAAACCAAAATAATGAATGATTTCTTTTTTTCTTTTGGCTAACAATTCTATTACTGATTATATAATACATAAAGTCACAGGTTTATATTATGAGTTTTGTTACTTGTACATCAATATTGTATATAACAGTTTCATAATATGACGTCGAAGAAAATGATTGGATTAAAAAATTGACTGTTTTAAACCGATAAATGTTAGAATGTTATGTGTTATTATACAACCTATTATGTAACCACTAATGTATATGTATCAAAATCCATTATACTACACTAGTCAAGTGATCACATCATTTTTATTAAATGGCATTAAATGCATGAATTATTGAACATTAAATGCTCCAAAAAGGTATATTCAAGGATGATTTGAACTTTTCACAACAAAAAAAGTGACTTTTTTAGCAACATTTATAAAAGTGACAATTTTTTGTGCATATTAAAATTGTGACATCTATGAAAAAAAATATATATATAAGGGAACGTTCCTCCTACACATGAATTTGACAAGTATTTTTAACAAATAATCGTAACCTTTAACTTAAGCAAATCCAACGACCAGCATGTATTTCACTAGGATCATGGGAGAGAGAGTTATAACCACATGAGATCCATGAAATACTAACCATTGGATTTGTTTAAATTAAAGGTCACGATTATTTGTCAAATCCATGTGTAGGAGGAACGCTTCCCATATATATATATATATTCAGTCCAGCATTTTCTCAAACCCCTTTCAAAACATGCTGCGATTGAACTTGTGTTAAGGAGAAGATGCACGCTACAGTTGCATCCAGATATTGAATAGGATGCACGTTGCCCAGCGAGAAATGCCATGATCCTGCAAATCAAGTCAAAATAAAAAGGAAAGGAGAGAACGAAAAAGGGGTTATTTTGCATCGTCCTTGGACAACTTTCATTGGCATTTAGGATATACCAAGTGCTTTGAATGGCCAACACCCAATCTAAAATCCTCTAATCATTTCTCCTGTTCTTGAAAGCTGGAGAAGATTACGAAAATAGCAAAAATGATTTTAGCCGTTGGGTACATTGTCTCTCTGCACTTTTCTATGGAGCCCTTCAATGACTCAAGCAATTCTCTGATATTTATACAACCGTACACCTGCAAGCATGGCATCCGCCTAGACTTCATGCCTATTATGGAATTCTGTACGGAAATTTTCCTAAATAGGTGGTTGGCCGTACTACAATTTAACATCATTGTCATGATGCTGTACCATATCGTACCATAATTAAGGAACTACTGCAAAGAAAGGCTTCCCAAAAACTGAAATTCTTAAATCATTCCTTGCTGCTGTATTATTCTCAGTATTCTTAATACGCATGAAAGATGGGATACAGAATAAAAACACCAGGTCTACTTAATATTCCAAATTCGAAAAGTAGTTTTGACCTTCAAACAAGAGCAATCATGTAACAAGCATATATCCATCTTAATTGCATAACCAACCATCTCCATTGGCAAGATAGAAAGTATTTCCATGCTATACAAGTATGGTTACTGAGCAAGTTATACAACATATTTGTACATTAACAAGAAACAATCTACAGGTTTAACAGTTACAACTACAACTACCTGGTTTCTCTAGTACGAACCCCAAAAAATTTACTTAGAAGTAAGAAATCTAATCTCCACAAGAAAAAAGCCAAGTTCAGTATTCTAAAAGTTCGATTTCATCAGCTTCATTCGAGGTTTAATGGTAATGTCACCAACAGGATTCCTCTGCTCTACATGTATATAGTCTCTTGTCTTAAGAACCTGCAAGGTTTTCATTTGTAAAATGAAACTGACAAAACATTTTATTTCAAACTACTCTAATAACTAGACATGACATGGATCACATTAGTCCATTTCTCATTTATTTATCCAAGTACATCAATTATGGCTGCAATCTTTCTTTAAATACTTGATTGTGAATGAAACAGTACGAATAAGTAAGAGAGTTTAGACATACTAATGCTTCGAAAAACATCCTTGATGCTTCCTTGCGCGTTTTACCAGTTAACATGTTGTCCATGGAAAGTGACTTCCTTCCATAATCTGCCTCCTCCTCAAACAAGACTTGAAGATACTTGGAAACAGCCCTATAAGATATAAGTTATCAAACATTTATAAAAATGAAGATCTTGGTCATAAATACTGATATCTTGAAAGGTGCAGACCCCATTACGGATATGTACTTATTGATGAACAATTGTCATGATGATTACACAATTCAAACAATTGTAACATTTCTGTTCCAATTTTCAGAACTCAACATGAACCAAAATCATCAAACTCAAACAACAGGCAGTTAATAAAAACAATCTTGGACTAACAGAGTAATGGAGCAGGAGGTGGAGATCTCTTTATAAAAATAAACTGAATGAATTGCCATTTGGCTACATTATCCATTCATTTCTTGTTATGCAGCAGAAAGCTGCAAATTTGGCACTAATTCATGGAGACAATAGCCCATAAACTGATTTCTTCAAAGTCAGGAGGACATGTATTTAACATTCATAAAAAGCTCAGCAGCAGAATTCAAACCTTGTACGTGAAGACCACCCAGTGTTCTCAGTTAAGCGAGTCTCTTCAGCATCAGGCATATAATCATCAGCTACTTCCTCATCATCAAAATTTAGAAACTCTGAAAGCCCAAAGATTATGCATGATAAAACTTATGCAATCCACATAAACATATCATGAACAACATAAACAATTAATGATATGGGCAAACTCTACACAAAATCTAAACTAAGAACACAAAAAGGATTCAACAGATAAGAGTATCTATAATACCCATAGAGCATTATGGGGGCCGAATGAAAAAGAGAAGCCTCAGGGACCTTCCAAAATGATTCAGCTTATAAAAATCCTTCCTAATATTACATGTACAGCTCCTTATCCACATCAAGGACTTGCAAAACAATTACCAAGAAGTTTTGTTCTTTTCATTTTTCCCCTTGAATGAAAGCATGGAAAGTGGGCGAATATAATTAGAAGGATAGGAGCAAACCTGTGTCATTAACCGGGGCAGAATAATCCAAGTCCTGCATCAAGAAGCCAAAAATTATTAACAGAACTCACCACAATCAAATGCAGGAGAAGGGGGGGTCACTTCCCTATAACATGAAGAAGATCTCTTAGATGTTTTACTACCTAAAAAGGCCACAAGAATAGGTTCTCAAGGCAATGAAAAAGAATTATTTGAAAACAGCACAACAAACATATGCATTTCTTGCAAGACCAATAAGCTTCCTTCTCCATCAGCTATGTTTGGATCTGGCACTAGATAAGAATAATGGCCAATTTTCTATTGCAATAATTCTTCTTTGGTTGCATTTATTACTCTAGATTAGAAATACCAGGATAAAATTTTAAGAAAAGTCAATAAACATTCAAGTAACAAGAAGTCTCACGTAATTTCCTTTATTGGTCAGTCCTTATCCTAGTTATAATAATTCAGTCATGATAATATCGATTCATGTCAAGTAAGGAACGTTAAAAAACATATAGATGTGAAAATACTATAATTCTCTCCTGTTTGTATGAGCACAAGGTCCACAATCTAATATTGATTTTATTCTAGTGATCCCTAGTACGTAGTGCCTTATACATAATTTATTCGAGCATTTAATCTTCAAACAATGGCCAAAGGATGTAAAGCTAGAATCTGTCTCCTTTGATGATTGTCATTTATGTGATAAGTTTTATGCAAATAATTTGCTTGGGAATTTTCAGATTCTTTCTTTAGAGTAAATTGTGCAATTATTCAAGTTGGTCCACTTCTGAAACTTGGTTTACTCGACAATTTGAGTCCGTTTCAGCAATGATAACTGCACTGGAAAAATCAGAGGTCCATCAGAGCTACAGGGAAGATTTGATAAGAGCTTCAGACAAGCTTAGCAAAGTTTTAACTGAGGCAGATGTCCGTTTGTTGATGGAGACCATGTCTCAGAAAAATGCTGCTGAAGTGTATGTATCCCAGGTATTTTTTTTCCAGTTGGTTATTGGTCATGGACTCAATCAGTATTTATAATGGTGAAGGTCTGAGAAAGAAGCCAAACGAGAAGAAAAGCTTTTGATCAAGCAAATGGAGAAAAGCAAAAGGCAGATGGAGAAAGAGAGGAAACGAATGGATCGGGAGCTTAATAAGGAAAAGTTGCAAACTGTAAGTCCTTTCTCTAATCTTGTACATTTTATTTGGCTACTGTACAATTATAAATATTTAATTCTTACACAAATGTTCTAAGCATTGTTCGTATAGAATAACGTTTTGACTTTCTTATGATTAAATTACCTTTTTGATTTTATTGAATGGAAAATCATAGTTTTGTTATCTTAATGGAGACTGAATCTGAATTATCTAGACACTTGACATTCTGAGCTGGCTTTCATGTCTTGCTATGTTTAAGATAAATTTGTTTACAAATAATGTAGATTTTTACAGGTCTTAGCTAGTGAATATCTTTTTTCTTGGTTCATTTATTTGAAGATCCACAACCTTTCAGGAAAAAGAACTAAAGCGGTTAAAAGATGAGGCTGAGAAGGAGGAGTTGCGCCTTGAGAAGGAAGAATCTGAAATGCGGAAACAGCTGAAAAGGCAGCAAGAGGAAGCAGAGAAAGAACGGCGGCGCAAGGAGAAGGAAGAATCTGAGTTAAAAAAACAACTTTCTCTGCGAAAACAAGCATCACTCATGGAGCGTTTTCTCAAAAAAAATAGAACTAATTCAACTTCTCAGAATGGCAGCACTGCAATCAAACAGGTAATATCTGAACAATCCCCTAACAGTGTTGAAAGGATGTCAGGACCAATTACAGTGGCTATGGACTCTGTTCTAACCCTTGGTGAAGGATTTGATGAAGAAGATATATGGAAGTGGGTTCCTTATGTTTCCCTTTTTTTTTGTGAATATCTTGTAAAATACTGATAGTTTATATAGTATAAGACTAGTCTTGGTTTCTTTTTGCAGATCACACTTGAGATCTTGGCGCTGTTTGGGATGCACAGTTCGTTCTAACAGGAAAATGCATTGGGGAGTTCGTCAGAAGCCTAAGACAGAACTGGTCAAGGAACTTAAGCTTAGTACCAACAGAGAATTGACCTGTGATGAAGACTTGAGCCTAGAGAAGCTTGTGGATGGATGGGATGACTCTAATATTGATGGACGATCAACTTGTACTAATGCTAATATTCTTCCCAAATGCCAGAAGCGCAGCAGGAATTGGCAGCTTTTGCAGTTTGACAAGAGTCATAGGCCTGCCTTTTATGGTGTTTGGTCCAAGAAAAGGTGGGCGCAATTTTCATGTTACATTGTTTTACTCTTATGCATATAGTTTTGCAAGTGCATTGTGGTATCTTTTGGTATATCATTTTGTAATATCTTTTTTGTGCACATGGAAGGCATCCACAGATTGAATTTTAATTGGAAATTTGGAGGTTATGAATGCTATTATTGGTGAGTGTAGGACATTGTTGGTTTTAATTTGTGAAGTTGAAGGATGAATGATGAGTCCTGCCAATATATACTGTGTTCTAGCACAATTAAGCACGTGGTGTTTTACTGGTAATTTGGTACAAGAGAGGATTGCCACATTGAATAGCCTAGCTTTAAGGCATGGCATTGAAAATTGTCTTGGAGCTGTACCACTTACTATGTATTCACTTAGAATGCTGTACTTCTGTTCTCCTACCAAGCAATTTGATAATGTTATTTTGTTTAAGACACTAGTTGAGTCGCTTAACTTGCTGTCTGTTGACAAGTTTCTTGGTACAATCATTGAAGTGATACTTGTGTACGGACAGCGTCCAAGTTGGTTGTCCTATTTATTCATCCATGCATGTTTTAAACCATTGAAAAAGAATTTGTTCCCTGCATGATATGCTGTTGAATTATACGCGGTGCCTATAAAGGTACAAGGAGATCATCAAGAAGTGATGTTACACTGATTTGAAATAGTATATTATCGTAACTCTGATTGTATGTGTTTCTGTTTCTGTTTCTCCAGTTCAGTTGTTGGAGCGCGTCACCCATTTGCAAAGGATCCAGACTTAGACTATGAAATTGATAGTGATGGGGAGTGGGAAGAGGTATGTCTGCTTTGCTATAAATGTCATTTAATAGTATGAGATATCTGCTATACAAAACTAAAAACTTACCTTAGTTAATGAGGTCCAATTCACGTGGCAAAAGCAGAGATTCTAAAACCAGAAAATCCGAAGCTCAAGATCCATGTTAAAGTTTTAGTAAACGTCTTCGTTGTGAGTTTACTAATGAATCTATACAAGTTTCTTGGTACAATCATTGAAGTGATACTTGTGTACGGACAGCGTCCAAGTTGGTTGTCCTATTTATTCATCCATGCATGTTTTAAACCATTGAAAAAGAATTTGTTCCCTGCATGATATGCTGTTGAATTATACGCGGTGCCTATAAAGGTACAAGGAGATCATCAAGAAGTGATGTTACACTGATTTGAAATAGTATATTATCGTAACTCTGATTGTATGTGTTTCTGTTTCTGTTTCTCCAGTTCAGTTGTTGGAGCGCGTCACCCATTTGCAAAGGATCCAGACTTAGACTATGAAATTGATAGTGATGGGGAGTGGGAAGAGGTATGTCTGCTTTGCTATAAATGTCATTTAATAGTATGAGATATTGGCGATTAATATTTGATTGCATAGGAGGAACCCGGTGAAAGCCTATCAGATTGCGACAAGGATGATGAAGATGAAATGGCAGGACATTCAAGAGGCGATGATGGGGATGAAAGTGAAGATGGCTTTTTTGTACCTGATGGATATCTCTCGGAGAATGAGGTACTATATTTTTATTGCTATAGAAATTGATTTTCAGTTTATATTGAGGACAAAATATATTTATCTTTGTGTTTCTTCTGGAATGTGCATGTTTACAAGTTATTTCTTTTTCATCTTTCTTTATTTCGTCATTGGGTTTTTTTTTTATTGAAAATGAATTTCTGCTAAGGGTGGGAGTTGGTGGCAAAGGGAGGATAGCTGAAAATGCTAATTTGTTTTATTTTCAATTTTTTGGATATACTGATTTGTGGTCAGCAAGTTCATTGGTTTTCATTGTGCCATGTAGGGCGTACATGATGACGAAATTGAATCTGATAAATTGATTGAGGAGACGAGGAACTTGCTTGATTCTGGGCAGAATGAAGAATTTTGTACCTTGCTCCGACAACAGAAGTATCTGAATAATTTGACAGAGCATGCACTGCGGAAAAACCATCCCTTGATCATATGGAATCTTATGCATGAAAAAGCTATTCTAGTACTGGCTGAAGGGCTCACTGATGCACAGAAATTTGAACAAAAGTGCTTGCAATCACTGAGTATTCTGCCGTACCCAGGTTGCCCCCCAGTAGAGATATCAATTTGTAATGACACAGTACATGAGGATGAAGAAGCTTCCCCTTCAAGTAGTAAGTCAAGCATGACTCCAGCGGCAAGTGCTGTAGCTATATTGAACTCGGACTTGCCTCAAATTGTAAGTTCATTTTATTGTGGAGTAGACACAACAAAACTCTTGCAGTTTGTTTTTGATCCTTGTGGCTAACCTATTTTTATATGAATTAAGCTATTTGTACATCCAAAATGTAAACCTTTTTTGACATTCAACGAGGTATAAAAATTTGTATCATTGACACCTTAGACACTGTCAACAAAGCTGTACCTGTAGAAGAAACTGTTTTTATATTCATGATGTAATAAACCACCATTTGGTGTTCTAGCTTAATTCACACACTTGAAATTATTTAAATTTTACAGGTATCTGTAATCCAATCATGCTCACAGAGTATAGGCAAGGTATTGGAGTCCTTGCAAAATAAGTTCCCGACTATCCCAAAATCCCAATTAAGGAACAGAGTGCGTGAAATATCAGAGTTCTCTGACAATCGTTGGCAGGTACCTTAAAGTTCATTTTCTGTACTGCTTTCATCATCTAGTGGGTAAAATGTAGTCCTGTTCAATATATTTGAGATCTCTTGTTCATGAATTGAATCTTCATATTTAAAAAGATAACTTTTCATTCATTTTCTGTATTATTTACATCATCTAGCTGGTAAAATGTAGTCCTTGCTGATGTGGGAAATCTCCTGGTTGTGAATAATCTTCATATTTGAAAAGAAAACCTTCTCATATTGTCGTGGGAGGTATTTAAGAAATAAGTTCTGTTATTGCTCACATCTCAATCACTGGATCTACACCCGGGTTAACTTTATGAACCAGGCTGAATGTTGCTGTGTTTGGTTCTAGCTTTATTAATTGCTCACAATTGCCTGACAAAAGCAGAAACTCGTTGCCAAGACAAAAGCAGAAACTTGCTGATTTTAATTCTTTCTTTACGAGGCAGGTTAAGAAAGAAATTTTGGCCGAGCTTGGTCTGTCTGTATCACCAGGTTATTCCATTGTAACTTTACATATGTAACTCATTATTTCTGCAATCAGCGAGAACTGATGAGAGAATGATATCCCATGTGCATTTTTACAGAAAAGAGTTGTGGGAAAAACAAGAGCATTGCAAAATTCTTCTCGAAAAGATGTCTGCCTCCATCTGGAAAGACTAGTAACCTGATTGAAACTTCATCCTACAAAGCTGCAGCTGCCAAACCACAGCAGGATAGCAGCATTATTGAGAATCAATAATCCTATGGGGTTTCTATCTCTTTTTTTGCCTATGTGATGTGACATAACAAAAATGTCAGATCAAAAGTTAGCAAAGTCTGTATAAAATGTTGCAAGTTTGATGGCTGATGGCAGTTTGATTTTGGAAGCATTGTAGTGCTGAATTTTTGTTGGCCATAAACGTTTTCTGTTTCAGTATTGAAAGATCAATGATACTTATTAGTCTAGCAGTTTTGCATATTTGCAAGTATTGCGGGTATCTATTTAGCTGTCCTTTACAATCAAGACCTTATGATACCAAATATTACATTTCCCATGAATCTCTCTTTGGTTCCCCCATTTACATCTTGCATTTTTGAATAATCAGCGAAGTAAAATGCCAAAACAAGAAATCAATTGAATAGTTCATTTGAACAGTGCAGTAGTACACAACAAATCCCATCAAAATAAAGAACAAAGTAACAAATCAAGAGAATATGGCTATTAAACCGATAATTAATCATCGCCCAAAATCAAACAAATTTCGGTGAACCTTGATTAAAATCAGACTTGATAAGGATATGGCAAATATTTTAAATCCTCCTCATTTTGAACCTTTGCACTCCTCATAGCCTGAGGATTCTCTCTCTCAACGTAAGCATAGTATTTCAAGAAGAATGCAAGAGTCAAAACCACCCATTCTAGGAAGAAAATCAGAATGCACAATCCACCTGCCAATTTTAAGATCACCACACCATCCTCTTCCCTCACATAGGACTTAAGATTTCCAAGAAAATCCGAGGGCCTCGTGAAGATCAGCACCGACACAGACCCCTGAAATATCGCAGTAAGGACGGTGGCCACCATGTGAGCTCCATACCACTTGGTGGCACCCCTGGCAGCATTGGCTGCAGCGCAGCCGGAAATGGCGCCACCAATGGTGATAATGTGGAGGAGGATCAAGAAAAACCCACAAAGCGATGGGATGAGGCGGAGAGAGAGGGTCAAGAAAATGCAACTGGAAGCTGCACCTAGGAGAAGATAGTTGGTTAATATGAACACCTTGTGAGTGCGAGGATGCGATTCATTGGAGGAGGTGTCAATGGACAAACCCATTTTTTTATTTTTTTTCTGAACAAAGTTTGAGCAAGATTTTTGAAGTTTTTGAGGGTTTTTCGCAACTGGGATTTGATTTGGTTTTCTTGGAGAAGAAATTGAAAGAAATGAGTAGATTTTATGCTGTTCAGAGAGGAGGAGAAGCTATATATATATTGTGAAAGAAGCTGAAACGGTCATATTTTAGGTCTGGTTTTGCGAAGAAATATGACCGTTGTGAAAAGTTTGGAGTGCGTAACGGCTACCTGGTACCCATTACCCGGTTGCTTTTTTCCTTTTACTTTTACAGTGAAAAATGAAACCAGCTAATTAAAATCATTTTCTTGTATTTGGTTTCTATTTGAATTTTATATTTTTCATTCTTTTCGTACATTTTGTTATTATCTTTTAAATTTCCTCAAAAAGAGGAAAAAGAAAAGGTAAAATCTTATTTATAATACGTTAGCAGCGTACTAAAAAAATTAATGTGTCATTATTTGATACAACATTATAGCTCCATATTTGATTCAACTAAAAAATCTGGCACCCGTTTGGCCCCCATTTTTCCAAATTAAAATGGGTGGCATAGAATTTTTTTTTTTTTTAAAAATGAGTGGTTGAAAAAGAAGGGAAAATTTTCGATTTATTTGTAATATTTTTCGATAGGTAGTTTATTTGTAATATTATTTTTGTGGAAAATTGTGTTATTGAAAATAGGAGAAAGAAAATGAAATTTAATTTAATTGGGGCCAAACGGGTTCCTGATTAAAATTTAAATCAAAATCAACAATTTATTTTAATTTTACATTTTATAGGATCCACAATTTTTCAACCACACAGTCCATCAGATTTTATCAAATCTATGAAATATTTTATTTTTATCTAAGCCCCTATTTGTCATCCTTTAAAAATTTAAATTATTTGCTACAGGATCAGTATCCACACGTATTCACAAAACAAAATATTATACACATAAACCAATAAAGTTATCTTACTTTTTAATTATACATTCTCCAAAAAATACTATTCAATAACTCATTATTCTCAAATAAATTCTATTTCTGGAATTCAGATATTTTGGTTATTAATTTGTTTCATGGAACTTAATTGTCTAATGGGACTGCCAAACGGCTAAAAATTACAGAACATAATTCCAGATTTCATTGTTGCTGGATGAGTGAACTTAGAGTTTTAGCTATACTATGCTGCATTGCCTGACTGATTATCTTGTATCTATTTGCTTCAATTTCTTGTAATTAATGAGTGGATTTTCATCATCACTTGAGTTGTTATTATGTTGTAATCTAAAATTTTTACTATTTCAATTTTTGCTAACCTAATCCTGCCTATCTTGGCACACCACTTTTAAGCCCCGTTTGGTACCCATTTTTGTAAGAATGAAAATGAAAAATATAATCGTTATGAGACCTACTCAAAAGATAGAAAATCAAATATTGTGATTTTATTTGATAAATAACGATTATATTTTTCATTTTTGTGGCCCAAGAATGGGAATCAAACGAGGGAATGTCAAATTTAATTGTAAATCTCGATAGTTGTGTATCATTCTTGTGTCAAAAATGATTTATGGATGCCATTGGTATTGTCATTAATTTTTGGCATAATCTAAGCCTTCTTGTCTTCAAACACAAATTTTCATGTGAAATGTAAATGCCAGTCTCTATAGTTGTGGATCAAACTATCAAGAATAACTGTCCTTCTTGATAGTTAATCGCTGGAATTCTCTACAGTTCGATAACCACTTTCAAAATTTTGTCATATGCGAAATCTGGTTCAGCTTATCCTGTAAGTGTGTTATGAATTTAAATGTGCGACACATCAGCTGATATATGCTATATTCTTCAAGTTAGAGTGCCAATTTGTTGTTTTGGTGCAAGATACAATCTTGTGTTTGATTAAACTTTCATGTTATGCATTTAGTACACTATTTTACTTTCTTTCTTTACTTTATACTTGGTTGAATATGATAAGCGGGTTCTATTCTTTCTGTATTCTAATGTTCCTTATTTTGAAAATAATTTGACACCACCATTCATAAGCAATGACACTATATATGCATGGGTGTTGTCACTCCTTTTGCTAGAGCATGTTCTTTATTAGTGCATTTGTTTGATCATGCATTACACTTTTCACTACTTCCAAATAATTGGAATGTTCTTTAGGTAACATGAACTATATCATATTTGCATAGAGCCATGCAGTTTCATATCGTCGGGGATTCTCCGAAGGTCACAAGTGAGCCTTCGGCCACAAGAAGGGCCGACATGGATGTTCCATTAGTGGTTTTAGTACCATGTGTTGATGATCAACAAAGATGTGGCGCTCGACATGCATTCCAGTGCCTGCAATAGGGATGAGGAAACCGTTCGCTAAGAGTGGGAAGAGAATCAAGAAACAATGCATTCTTTTGGGAGATAAAATCTTGTTTTCACACTCAAACCAAAATAATGAATGATTTCTTTTTTTCTTTTGGCTAACAATTCTATTACTGATTATATAATACATAAAGTCACAGGTTTATATTATGAGTTTTGTTACTTGTACATCAATATTGTATATAACAGTTTCATAATATGACGTCGAAGAAAATGATTGGATTAAAAAATTGACTGTTTTAAACCGATAAATGTTAGAATGTTATGTGTTATTATACAACCTATTATGTAACCACTAATGTATATGTATCAAAATCCATTATACTACACTAGTCAAGTGATCACATCATTTTTATTAAATGGCATTAAATGCATGAATTATTGAACATTAAATGCTCCAAAAAGGTATATTCAAGGATGATTTGAACTTTTCACAACAAAAAAAGTGACTTTTTTAGCAACATTTATAAAAGTGACAATTTTTTGTGCATATTAAAATTGTGACATCTATGAAAAAAAATATATATATAAGGGAACGTTCCTCCTACACATGAATTTGACAAGTATTTTTAACAAATAATCGTAACCTTTAACTTAAGCAAATCCAACGACCAGCATGTATTTCACTAGGATCATGGGAGAGAGAGTTATAACCACATGAGATCCATGAAATACTAACCATTGGATTTGTTTAAATTAAAGGTCACGATTATTTGTCAAATCCATGCGTAGGAGGAACGCTTCCCATATATATATATATTCAGTCCAGCATTTTCTCAAACCCCTTTCAAAACATGCTGCGATTGAACTTGTGTTAAGGAGAAGATGCACGCTACAGTTGCATCCAGATATTGAATAGGATGCACGTTGCCCAGCGAGAAATGCCATGATCCTGCAAATCAAGTCAAAATAAAAAGGAAAGGAGAGAACGAAAAAGGGGTTATTTTGCATCGTCCTTGGACAACTTTCATTGGCATTTAGGATATACCAAGTGCTTTGAATGGCCAACACCCAATCTAAAATCCTCTAATCATTTCTCCTGTTCTTGAAAGCTGGAGAAGATTACGAAAATAGCAAAAATGATTTTAGCAAAAATGATTTCTCCTGTTCCTGTTCTGCACTTTTCTATGGAGCCCTTCAATGACTCAAGCAATTCTCTGATATTTATACAACCGTACACCTGCAAGCATGGCATCCGCCTAGACTTCATGCCTATTATGGAATTCTGTACGGAAATTTTCCTAAATAGGTGGTTGGCCGTACTACAATTTAACATCATTGTCATGATGCTGTACCATATTGTACCATAATTAAGGAACTACTGCAAAGAAAGGCTTCCCAAAAACTGAAATTCTTAAATCATTCCTTGCTGCTGTATTATTCTCAGTATTCTTAATACGCATGAAAGATGGGATACAGAATAAAAACACCAGGTCTACTTAATATTCCAAATTCGAAAAGTAGTTTTGACCTTCAAACAAGAGCAATCATGTAACAAGCATTTATCCATCTTAATTGCATAACCAACCATCTCCATTGGCAAGATAGAAAGTATTTCCATGCTATACAAGTATGGTTACTGAGCAAGTTATACAACATATTTGTACATTAACAAGAAACAATCTACAGGTTTAACAGTTACAACTACAACTACCTGGTTTCTCTAGTACGAACCCCAAAAAATTTACTTAGAAGTAAGAAATCTAATCTCCACAAGAAAAAAGCCAAGTTCAGTATTCTAAAAGTTCGATTTCATCAGCTTCATTCGAGGTTTAATGGTAATGTCACCAACAGGATTCCTCTGCTCTACATGTATATAGTCTCTTGTCTTAAGAACCTGCAAGGTTTTCATTTGTAAAATGAAACTGACAAAACATTTTATTTCAAACTACTCTAATAACTAGACATGACATGGATCACATTAGTCCATTTCTCATTTATTTATCCAAGTACATCAATTATGGCTGCAATCTTTCTTTAAATACTTGATTGTGAATGAAACAGTACGAATAAGTAAGAGAGTTTAGACATACTAATGCTTCGAAAAACATCCTTGATGCTTCCTTGCGCGTTTTACCAGTTAACATGTTGTCCATGGAAAGTGACTTCCTTCCATAATCTGCCTCCTCCTCAAACAAGACTTGAAGATACTTGGAAACAGCCCTATAAGATATAAGTTATCAAACATTTATAAAAATGAAGATCTTGGTCATAAATACTGATATCTTGAAAGGTGCAGACCCCATTACGGATATGTACTTATTGATGAACAATTGTCATGATGATTACACAATTCAAACAATTGTAACATTTCTGTTCCAATTTTCAGAACTCAACATGAACCAAAATCATCAAACTCAAACAACAGGCAGTTAATAAAAACAATCTTGGACTAACAGAGTAATGGAGCAGGAGGTGGAGATCTCTTTATAAAAATAAACTGAATGAATTGCCATTTGGCTACATTATCCATTCATTTCTTGTTATGCAGCAGAAAGCTGCAAATTTGGCACTAATTCATGGAGACAATAGCCCATAAACTGATTTCTTCAAAGTCAGGAGGACATGTATTTAACATTCATAAAAAGCTCAGCAGCAGAATTCAAACCTTGTACGTGAAGACCACCCAGTGTTCTCAGTTAAGCGAGTCTCTTCAGCATCAGGCATATAATCATCAGCTACTTCCTCATCATCAAAATTTAGAAACTCTGAAAGCCCAAAGATTATGCATGCTAAAACTTATGCAATCCACATAAACATATCATGAACAACATAAACAATTAATGATATGGGCAAACTCTACACAAAATCTAAACTAAGAACACAAAAAGGATTCAACAGATAAGAGTATCTATAATACCCATAGAGCATTATGGGGGCCGAATGAAAAAGAGAAGCCTCAGGGACCTTCCAAAATGATTCAGCTTATAAAAATCCTTCCTAATATTACATGTACAGCTCCTTATCCACATCAAGGACTTGCAAAACAATTACCAAGAAGTTTTGTTCTTTTCATTTTTCCCCTTGAATGAAAGCATGGAAAGTGGGCGAATATAATTAGAAGGATAGGAGCAAACCTGTGTCATTAACCGGGGCAGAATAATCCAAGTCCTGCATCAAGACGCCAAAAATTATTAACAGAACTCACCACAATCAAATGCAGGAGAAGGGGGGGTCACTTCCCTATAACATGAAGAAGATCTCTTAGATGTTTTACTACCTAAAAAGGCCACAAGAATAGGTTCTCAAGGCAATGAAAAAGAATTATTTGAAAACAGCACAACAAACATATGCATTTCTTGCAAGACCAATAAGCTTCCTTCTCCATCAGCTATGTTTGGATCTGGCACTAGATAAGAATAATGGCCAATTTTCTATTGCAATAATTCTTCTTTGGTTGCATTTATTACTCTAGATTAGAAATACCAGGATAAAATTTTAAGAAAAGTCAATAAACATTCAAGTAACAAGAAGTCTCACGTAATTTCCTTTATTGGTCAGTCCTTATCCTAGTTATAATAATTCAGTCATGATAATATCGATTCATGTCAAGTAAGGAACGTTAAAAAACATATAGATGTGAAAATACTATAATTCTCTCTGCTATACAAAACTAAAAACTTACCTTAGTTAATGAGGTCCAATTCACGTGGCAAAAGCAGAGATTCTAAAACCAGAAAATCCCAAGCTCAAGATCCATGTTAAAGTTTTAGTAAACGTCTTCGTTGTGAGTTTACTAATGAATCTAAGTGTACGTAATTTTGCTGAAAAAATAATGTTGCATAAATGTTTGATTACTCTTCTTTACAAAAAAATAAAAAGAATTAAGATTGAAACCAAGTGGTTCCACTATCTCTATATTACTTGAAATTACTGACGCATGGAATTTCGACTATTTAAAAAAGCATATAATATCAATGAAAATTTTTAATTAAGTTTTCTATAACCCATTTATCAATTTGAAACCCTAGAACCTATCTTCTGAAGATCCAATAAAATATTCAATTTTACGATAAATTATTTAAATTACTGATGTGCGGAATTTCAACTATCTATTAGAGTGCTTAAGGTATGGTTTTAGTTGTCTATTTCTTCATACAAGTCTTTCAACCTATCCTTTGTGGACCCAGTAAAATTCATTTTTATGATGCCTTTTTTACTTTGTTTATCAATTTAAAACTTTGCATGTGTCAAAATTTCATTAGACTGCAAAAGATTAACACTAGTATAAACATTTGCACATCATTATTGGAATGTTCTCCCAGATCAGCAACCAGATAAGGATATACTGAGACTTGCGTTTCCATATCAAAAGGTCAACCTCGTCAAGAGAGATAACCCAAGCCTTTATACTGTAATTAGTGTTTTCTTATCTGACCAATGTGAGATTTACGCTTAACATGCTCCTGCAAGATGGTGACTCATTTGATAACACAAATCTTGGAATCTGATAGCTTGTTTGAGCATCATGGGCTCTCATACCAAATGGAGACTAGGGGATCCATCTCAAAAAGTCTACTTTGTTAAGAGAAGCAGACCAAGTCCCTTATAACCGGGTTACCCTTATAAAAGGAAAAGGGTAGGCACCAGTGAAAAAGCATAATGGAAAATGAAAGAAGCAAAGTCCAATTACATGTTAGACAAGAACCAGAGGAGATCATCAGGAGTAAACAAGAAAACTTACATAACGGTCATGCAAGTCCAAACCAGAGATTTCTGCATGTGTCATATTAGGACGATAACCTTCCTTCGGAATTGAATTTTCATCATCATTCAGGAAACCATCTTCCAAGTGCACACTGCTCTGTGCTGGAAATGAGACGACTATTTGTTGTTCACAAGATGGACCATTATCAGTTCCACTCCGGACGTTGAATTCCAATTCCCCATTATTAGAATCTGGTAGCAGTGCAACTGCTGCACCATGTCCACCAACCTCTGATAGAACGTTTAACAATATGCCAGGTTTAGCTTCATGTTCTACAATAATATCACCATTCTTATCTGTAACTTCATTTGTACCAATTGAGTTTTCATTGCTAGCATCCACTACTGAAATATCCAACTCAACCAAGGGTGCATCTATCTTCTGATCAGGTGAATTGGCTAGTGCGTCCACATTCACGGAAGAGTTTGACTCGCCAGTCTCATTCAAAGCAGCAGTCTGAAGCATACCAGCTGGAACATCATCCATATCAACTGAAGAGCGATCAACGATGGATGAAGACGCAATTCCCTCAACAACAGCATGATTTATTGCATCAGCATATTTTTCATTTTCATTTTTTTCTAGTTGAACTACATCCTGCAAAAGCTCCTGCTGTGAAACATCAGGCTCCTCACCATAATAAGTAGGACATATCTGCTCTTGACAGATATTAACTTCTATACTCGGGGCATGGGATGTCTCCAGCATGCTCTCAGTCACCAGAATCTCACTGTGTCCACCCACTTCATTATTCCCATACACCAAAACTTCAGTGTCTGCTCCCATCCCACTTTGCCCTGTGACATTAGGCCCATGCGACCCTTCGTCCTTTCTTATGTCCCTTTTACCATTTTCATCATTTTGGGAAGCTAACCTTGGTTCAGCTACATCTTCAACAAATGCATTGTTTTCATCATTGTGGACATTGGGTTCAGCCACATTATCAAGAGAAGCACCATTTATCTCGTTTTTGCAGATACGAATTCTACTTAAGTCATATTCTTGACTGTGCAAGGATGCCAGTTCGATTGACAAGCCTAAGAAAAGATATCGAATTTAATAAAGTGATTCATCGAATAAAGCTGGTTCCAATGAAGTTACAAATAAACCTCGGAAGAAATTATATTATCAAGAAAAGAATACAAATTCACCTAAAAACAAACCAGAAATAAATAAATAAACAAAAAAATGAAATAAAAAAAAAAAAAAATCAAGGATCTTTCATGTATTTACTCATAGAATTCGTGAAACTAGTTGCACACCTGTCTAGGAAATCTAAATGCACTGAACTACGTGTACCAACACCATCCACTGGGATATGAGTTAACTCGTGAGATGATGCTTTTTAAGGCCAAAACATAGATGAGCAAACGTCTTAATAATAAATATACAACTAAAGTGATGCCTATTTTTCAAACAAAATCAGCCACTCAAGAAAATAAGGTGCAGCATAGCTGATTAGGGAGTTAAATTCTTGTTCTTTCGAATTGTACCAATTATCAGTTAACATACGTGATTCAATGCCATTTATAAACAGGGGTTACATAAGATGCTATTGAGGGCAAGATGAAATCAATTTGTTTCATATAATCAAGTTGTCTTATTATATTGAATAAGCCCCTCTATTTATAGAGCAAATAATTAAAAGAACTTAAAAACAAAACAAACGTCTAACAAACTATAATTGTATCAAAATATCAAAATTAATCTAATATAATCTGATTAAATATATTGAAATTAAACTCTACTTTAAAATACTAATTAAAATCTATCTCTATCTTTATTCTTATCTTAATCTCCATCAGGGGGTCAATTTCACAAGGAAAATACATTTCAAGAGCACACATATAAGCATTTTACACTCACCAGTAAATATAGGTTCAAGAAAAATTTCATCTTCCAAATATTGTTTCTGGATCATCGAAATTTCAGGCCCAGTACAGGGAGCTTTCTTTCTGACACGACGCACATCCTCAGTGTTCATCAGCTGTTGGCGTATCATACTTTCAAGGAACAAAAGACAGAGTAGGTAAGTTACAAGAACTTCGTGAAAAAACTAGCAAATCAGTTCACCATCCTAAAACACTGGACAAGAAATCTCCAATATAGTTATTATATGGAAAATAAATGAAAAAAGTCAATAAAATCACTAATTCTATGCAATTAGTTATTATACAGGAAAAATGCATGCTGTATGATGCACATCATTAGTTAACCATATTATTGACCTAGTAGAGAGGCAAAAAATCCATGCATCATCGCAGACTTATGAAATTTAAATAAAATAAAACACTTGCAAAGGTTAATGCAATATTTCTAACAAAGGGAAAACATACTCGCCATGCAAGACCATCGTATCATCCATATGCACTTTTCTTTTGGCAGCAACAGTGCGCGGAGCAGAGCGAGCACGTTTCAAAGATGTTGCCTCATAAACAACAGGAGTTGGCTTTACTTTCATAACTGAAGATCTTCCAACTGAGACAATAGAATTCCCACTAATCAGAATGCATTCCATAGAAATGGAAGGTATATTTTTCGCCTCTAAGTCCTCTCAAGGAGTCGTGTTTAAAAAGCAAAGACGCAGCCATCAAAATGGATTCAACATGAACCGACACATACACATTAAATTGTTCAAAAACCTAAACAGTTACAAACTATATCTTTATTGGAACATTTTTCCCATAAAACTGATATTCATTTTTATATTGGTCTTTTGATTTGATGAGTGCCTACTGGTATGAAAACAACTTTATATAGTTCTTCATATTAATAGTGTTAGCAAAATAAATTAGTCATGTAGAACAATGTATATACAGAGGGGAAAAAAAAAAAAA